TGGGACTGTGGGCACATTCCACTGCACCAGGCTAATTTTTCTATTTTTATACAGATGTGGTCTCGCTCTGACTGGTCTCAAACTCCTGGCCCCAAGTAGTCTTTCTGTCTTAGGCTCCCAGAGTGCTAGGATTACAGGCATGAGCTACCACGCCCAGCCTTTTTTCCATGTTTAATGCAAATTAGGAGGAAATAAAATCTGAAATAATCTAGTTAACTTCAAGTTGAACAATACTAGTCAGTACATAGGTTTTGTTGACTCGTGTTGCATGTCTTTCATAGAGAGAGCAGCTTAAGCCTTTTAAAAAACACTTAATGCTTCAGGAAATTTTCCCTCAACTTCAAGGATTTTGAGCTTTTCTTTTGATCTGTTCTCTTCTTTGCTTCCTCAGATTTAAGCTTCCCTTCTTCTTTCAAGCTATGATATAGAGCCAGTAAAAGAGTGGAGGGAAATTCTTTCTAACTGCAGCACTACATTTATACTGGACCCCAATTTGATCTCAGAATATTTATTATCATTAATTGTGGCATGAAGAGACTGAGGTAGGCTAGAGCTATCTAAGGTTTCAGAGTGGGACAGATGCCAAAGCTATTCATTCATCTGAAACCAGCTTGTGTTCTGAAAGCAGTATTCTGCTTGGTATCACGGTTCCAAAGATCATTATAGTAGCATAGCTTTGGCCTCCAAATGATAGGAAGCAGGTGGCATCTGTGATTACCATACAACTCGAAAGGTATGGTAATTTCGAGAGTGAGAAAATGCTCTTATATTTAGGAGGAGAAATTATTTCCCATGGGCATATAGGAAAGGTTTCACAAAGGATTTGAAATTTGAAGGGTAAGTAGAAGGAAGTTGCCATGCAGAGAAGGCATATCTAGGCTAACAGACCAACATGGGCAGTGCATAAACATAAGAAAATTTGGTGTATTGAGTGAAGAGTGAGAAGTTTGGTATAACCGCATCATAAGGGAAAAACGGGAGGATGGTACAGGTGAAAAGGACAAATTGTGAAATTCCTTTTTTGACACTGTGAAGGCATTTAGACCTAAGATGGTAAAGGGAAGGTTTTTCTTAGATGAGAGAGAATGCCATGGTATTTTTTAATAACAGTTTTATTGAAATATAATTCACATACCATAAAAGTCATCCATTTAAATTGTGCTATTTTGTGGGTTTTTAGTATATTGACAAAATTTAACAGCCATAACTACTATATAATTTTAGAACATTTTCATCTAAAATAGAAACTCTACCATTCATTTAGCACTCACTTCCCATTTTACCCTCCCATGCAACATAAACATGCTGACCCTAGATAGCCACTAACCTACTTCTGTCTCCAGGGATTTGTCTGTTTTGAACATTTCACATGAATAGATCTTATAATATGTGTGTTTCTGTGACTGACTTCTTGCTCTTAGCATGTTTTCAGGGTTCGTCTATGCTGTGGTGTGTAGTGCTCCATCCCTTTTTATTGAAAAATACTCCTTCCCGTTATGTGGGTGAATTTTACTTATTCATTCATGATCTGATGGACATTGGTGTGGGTTTTTTTAGCTACTATGAATAGTTCCATGACCATTTGTTGATGGGCTTTTGTGTGGGGTTATGTTTTCATTTTTTTGTGAATGGAATTAGTGGGCCAAAATTCCATATTTAACCTTTTGAGGCACTGCCTAACTATTTTCCAAAGTGACTATACCATATTATAACACCATGAGGATTAGTTTCTCGGCATCCTCCCCAAAACTTGGTATTACCAGTCTTTCTGGTTATAACAATCTGTAACAAAACCAATGCTATCCTTTTGTTTTAATTTTTATTTTCCCAATGACTACTGATTTGAACGTATTTTCGTTTGCTTATAAGCCCTAGGTTTATCTTTTTTAGATAAATATATTTAAATCATTTGTCCAATTTTAATTTGGCTGGTTTTTTTTATTTTTGGATTCTAAGAGTTTATTGTGTATTCTGGATACAGTCCCTTATCAGATATATGATTTGCAAATATTTACTCCCATTCTGTGGGTTGTCTCTTTACTTTCTTGATAGTATGGTACCTTTAGACCACAAAAGGTTTTAATTTGATGAAGTCCAGTTTATTTTTTTTCTTCTGCAGCTTGCTCATGCATTTGATTTTATATCTATGAATCTGTTGCCTAACCTATAATCATGAAGATTAACTCCTACATTATGAGAGTTTTATAGTTTCAGAACTTATATTTAAGCCTTTGATCCATTCTGAGTTAATTGTAGTAGAAAGCGTAAGGAAGGGGTTTGACATCATTCTTCTGTATGTGGATCTATCTGGTTTTTCCATCACCATTTGTTGAAAAGAATACTCATTCCCTGTTGAAATGTCTTGGTAAAGTATTTAGTTTTATTGAGTTAAAATGATAAAAACCATTTGATCATTTGATATTCAGTGGCATTTAGTACATTTACAGTGTTGTGCAGCTACCACCTCTATCTGGTTGTATATAACTTTATGAAGTACTGAACTAGAGTGAAATAGAACTGAACCTGTAGCTCAGTAGCTAGAGTACGAGCCACATACACGGGAGCTGGCAGGTTCGAATCCAGCCCAGGCCTGGATGAACAACGATAACAACTACAACCAAAAAATAAAAATAGCCAGGTGTTGTTGCAGGCAGTTGTAGTCCCAGCTACTGGGGAGGCTGAGGCAAGAGAATTGCTTGAGCCCAAGAGTTGGGTTGCTGTGAGCTGTGATGCCATAGCACTCTACCAAGGGTGACATCAAGGGGAAAAAAAACCTTATGCTCATTAAGCCATAGCTCCCCATTTTCCCCTTCCTCTCCCCCTAGCTTCTGGTAACCACTAGTCTACTTTCTGTTTGTGTGAATTCACCTATTCTGGGTATTTCATATAAACAGAATTACATAATATGACTTCTTTCACTTAAGTTTTCAGGGTTAATTCACATCATAGCATGTGTATCAGTACTTCATTCCTTTTCCTGGCTAAATATTTCATTGTCAAGAGCAGGGGTCCTCAAACTTTTTAAACAAGGAGCCAGTTCACAGTCCCTCAGACCATTGGAGGGCCAGACTGTGGGCCCGGGACGAGTCAACTGTGAAGCAGGACAGGCAGCGGCAGCAAAAACACCTGGTGTGCCACATGTGGCCTGCGGGCTGTAGTTTGAGGATCCCTGGTCTAGAGAGACTGTATTTTGTTTATCTATTTGTCTGTTGCTAAATAATTGGATTTTGGCATACTGTTTTGTAATGCCATGACTACAAGACTTTTTAACCTCTATGTATCAGCATTCTGCTTTAGTTAAAAATTCAGAAATATGAGAACAGAAAGAAAAAGCTATTACTTCCCTCCCATTCCTTATTGAGATGAATGATATATTCATGCATAATTTTTTTAATTTATCATGAAGAAGGTACTTGGTAAATATTAGTGTCTTCCACCTATTATATATGTGATAGGTGGCTTCATATTTGCAATCTGGATCAAGCCTCACAAGAACATTAAAAAGCTCACATAGAACATTTTAAATTTTTTCTCATTTTGCCATTTTGCAGAAGAAAATATTGATGATTATAACCTACCTAAAGTTATATAGCAAGTAAATGACAGAGTCTACTGTAACTGCAATCTTTTACCTTAGCATCATGTTTTTTTCTGATAATAAAATGTTCCTACACAGATAACATAAACTGTTAAGCCTTGAGTCAGCATACCTAATTCTCATGGGTATCCAAATTACATGTATTCAATGAAGAATAATACCTATTCTTTTTATATCACAGTTGAAAAATAACCTAAAATGGCTCAGCGCCTATAGCTCAACTGGCTAAGGCGCCAGCCACGTACACCTAAGGTGGCAGGTTCAAATCCCCAGCCCAGACCTGCCAAACAACAAGGACGGCTGCAACCAAAAAATAGCCGGGCATTGTGGCGGGCGCCTGTGGTCCCAGCTACTTGGGAGGCGGAGGCAGGAGACTCGCTTGAGCCCAAGGAGTTGGAGGTTGCTGTGAGCTGTGATGCCACCGCACTCTACCCAGGGGGACAGCTTGAGGCTCTGTCTCAAAACAAAAAAAAAAACCTAAAATGTAGGTTAAACACAGTTATAATCTTGGTGCTAAGAGCCAGGGCTAACCTCTACACCATAGAGTTTTACCATGCTGTGAACAGACCAAGATCTCTAACATGAAAGAGAGACCATGTGTGTTTTGGGTTTTATTCATTAGTATATTGTCTAGTGTATCTACCCAGGGTAATTATAGGTTCTTATTAAAATACTAACATTTGTTGAATGAACAAAGGAAATATATTGTATGTTCTACTATTCGTGTGACCTATCCACCAGAATTCATAATTTGCCACTGAACTTTCCTCTTAATCTTACAATTTTTGAATGAATATACCTAATAAAAGTTTTTATAGTCTAAGACTTAATTAGAGTGCCTTTCACTTATAATATTACCTTATGGAAGATATTATTTAATATCTATTCTGTGGATGAATAAACTGAGGTGCAGAAAAGGTTAGTAATATGGTAGGTAGAAACCAAAGCTATAGACTTCCTCTTTTCTGAATATTTCATACAGATGTGCTATTATAAAGGTTATTAAATTTAATTATCTTAAAATACTCTAATCCTGAAAAATATATTTAATAGTATCAGATTTAGTAGATGTAATTCTTAAGGTATGACTTTATTAATATTTTTATCAACTAAAATTTGCATTTATGTATTTGACTACCTTTAATGTTTGATGTCTGTTTCTCTCTAAGATACCTAACATAGTTTAGCTGAATTTTTCAGCTTCGTATTTTCCCTACTCTCATCCCCTGTTCTCATTAACAGTTCATAGATGGTTTTTCAAATAATCTTTAAACATTAAACATTTTACTTTTTTACTAGAGTCAAAATTTTGCTAGTTCAGCAAAAACATCTTTATCAGAATTACTAAAAGCTAAGATACACTGTCATTTAAACTCAGTAGATATTTTGGTTTTCTTTTTAGGCGTTGACAGTTCTTCTACCACAAGCAGTGCTTCTCCAATGCCCAATAGTTACGATGCACTAGAAGGAGGCAGCTACCCAGGTAATTGTTTTCTACTTGCTTGATGTTTGTTTTAAAACTATTGACCATCAACATGAACATATATTACACGTAATTAGCAGGGTGTGTTTTTGTCAGCCTTTATTTAATAGTGTTAACTGTCATTAACAACTATGAGTGTTGTTTCTGGGAGGCATAAGGACATTTTTTAAATTTTTATTGTCATGCTCTTTATCTTTGTCCTCTTTCTACAAGGCTTTTTTTTTTTTTTAAGAGACAGAGTCTTACTTTGTCGCCTTCAGTAGAGTGCTGTGGTGTCACAGCTCACAGCAACCTCCAGCTCTTGGGCTTAGGTGATTCTCTCAGCCTCCTGAGTAGCTGGGACTACCGGCACCTGCCACAACACTCAGCTATTTTTTTGTTGCAGTGTGATCAGGCCAGGTTCGAACCCATCACCTTTGGTATATGG